GAAAGGTGCCGAAACCGACGGGCCGTGTGGTTGAGCGGGCCGGCGTCGATCTCATCAGGCCGGATGTGGAGCTAGCAGGCCCAAGTATTTTAACACGGCGCATCTCGGCCACCACCCACAGGATGGGGCAACGAGTAGAGCATCAACATGGAAAGGGCCTTGGTCTGTCATGTTCAGTTCATCAAGTTAGGACGTCAATGCCTCGTCAGCAAGGATCTACCGCGCGATACGCGAGAACTAGCTAACAGGCAGTCGTGCCTAACCGAAGGTGCAGCAGAAGCAGACTGCACAACCATCCTGCCCTGCCGCCAGCCCAAAAGACACAAAAGGAAAGATTTCGCCCCTGCCAGCGACCCAAGTCCGTTTCCATCATACAGCCGCGCCGGAGTCCAATAGTACACGATAGAGAGAGAGAGAATGGTGAAGTTCAAAAACTGCCAAAGTCTTAAGCAGACTCGTCGTCCTCAGCCTCGGCCTGGGGCATGTTAGTTTTGCTGTGTGATGGCCCTGGGTTGGGGCGAGGGTTGCTCACGTTGTACGCCGCCTTCTCGTCCTCATAACGCTTCTTATCGGCGACAGCCTTTGCCTCGTAGGGGCCACGCTGCTTCTCGTTGAGGGCCTTCCAGCGCTCACCGAGGAGCTTGCCAACCTGGCCGAAAGAAATGCCGGGGTTCTCCTCACGAACGTTCTCGCGCTGCTCGTTGGCAAAGAACATGTAGGCGGAGAGACCGCGCTTGGGGGCGTTGGGGTCCTTCTTGGCCCTCTTGGCCTTCTTCTCGCCGGCACCACGCTTAGCTGCGGCCTTAGGCATTTTGATGGTTCTACGAGGAGTGGTCAGTGTCATGTTGAGGACGGCTACGACTTGAATGCTGTGCGTGTCAAAGAGATGTGGTGGGGAGGCGGTGAATAGACGGGCCGAGAGAATCGAACAGGCCAAGTGGACGCAGGGATGCGACAGCTTGTCCGTCGGACTATCGCCCCAGGGTATTTGGTGGTGGTAGGGTAGGTGTGCTGTGTGTGAAAGACAATGGGTCGCAAACGCAATTGCACTCGTCAACGCGTCCCAATACGCGTTTGAAGCTCGAAATCGACAATGTTGGACCTCAACACGTACCTGAGGATTGGTTTGGCAAAGGTTGAAAGGGTTGTTGTTGTTGGAGTCTGGACGCGTCAAGCTCTGGTTAGCTTAATCAAGCTCAAGATCGATGCACGAGATGCACCCAAGATGCAATGCGACAAAGCTCGTGAAGTCACAACACAAGGCCCGACTCAATCGAAATTTATCGCATTGAGATGGGACAAGTGATGCAGAATCGGTTGCAAGTAATGCGATGCAGCAAATTGTGCAGTTGGTGGTTGTAGTGGTAACAATGGTTCGTAAAGTGGGTGACTTGGGAATTGGTGGAGGATGCGTGGGTGCAGAGGTACTCACGAAGTGTAGGCACGAATTTGCGTGGTGTTGGGATTTGTATGGTGATTTTGCGTGGTAGAGAGGAGAGCGAAAGAGAGAGGAGGCAGAGAGGTGGGAGGCGAGGTGCCTGCGTTTTTACTCGGCGGGGACTTGGGGGAGTGATCCTGCGGGCACCTCCCACCAGGCCTAACCAGAGCCACCAAGGCGAGGCAGGCGCACCCGGGTTTCGCTGGGAAGGGGAAGGCACGCGTTGCCCCCTTTCCCGCCTGGTTCCTGGCACCTTGCCTTGGGCTGCCCGCGTGCGTGCGTGTGTGCGTGAGTGCGTGTGTGCGTGTGTGCTCCTCTCCCATTGTTTTTGTCCAGGGGCGACCAGTGAGTGACCAGCCACCAGCCATCCACCCATCAGCGGGCAGTAGCCACCATGCCAACTGCTACTGTGCCATACTGTAGTCACAGAACTCCGCCCCAAGTACTGAGTACTGTGTACCTTCGCAGCGCCCGTACCTCCTCAGGGTACATGCCCTTTTCGACCTTGGACCAGCCCATCACTTCCCTTCTGATCCGCCTACCACCTTGCCCGCCCGCCCGCACCTTTCGTTGCCCCCCTCCTCCCTTCACGCCCACCCAGACACATATCGACCGACGTACATGTAGCTAGCTAGGCTGTTTCCCATGGCCGGTTGCCCACTGCTCCGACCGGCCCTGCCTTGCAATGCACACATTACGCTGCAGATGCCACTACCACCTCCTGATCACACATTTTTTTTTTTATCTTTCTCAGTCAGAAGTACGTGCAGCTCACACCGCCTTGTGGCCAAGCTTGTTGCAATATCTTGCCACTGGAGCCGTACTTCGGTGCTGTAGGTACCTTAGGTACATACCTACTCTTTGTCAGTGGGACAGATGCTCTGAGAACCCCTCTGCACTGCCCAACGTGCCGGGGAGGTCCGTGTGATTGCACGCAGCCCCACAGTACGTCTTTCGAGACATAGGCTCAAATCACCCCACACCATCCAGGTAACCCTTTATTTTCTACGGAATTTCAGACAGTTCGCACACTGTCCAACCCCTCTCCATACCTCCTCCAGATAGCTGCTACCTCCTATCCCCCCTTCCGCTCATGTCCACTGATCCGGCCTGCCTTGGATCATCATGCTTTCCATCCAGACGACTTAGGCGCGTCTGCCTCTGCTCAAAACATGACCAAAACACGTAACATGGACCTTGAAAGATACCTGGAGCAATATGACGCGTCGTCCAGCTTGCTTAAGCTCTCCATTTCCTCTGCTGTCCAGAAGATCACGAAAGCCAAAGCCTCTTTAATATGAGATATACTGGAGCACCTTTTGTGGTCAGGCTGGGTCTCCAGCCGGAAGATGACAGGATACCCGTCAAGCCCCAACCACAACACAGTGCTCGGCTTCCCCAGTGCTCCGCGACAGGACTAGACACACCTACGCAAACTCTCCCGTTTTGGTAGCTTGTCCTATCACACTCGAGTCACATACATCAAGCAGGCCAGCCCCTGACGACAAGAGCCCACGCTCCCCTGGACCTTGACGTGATTCCCCGAAATAACGACGCTGGACACATGCCTCAGCTGGGCGGCTGTCTCTTGTGGCTGGATCTCCTATCAAAACAGCCTTGATTCGGCAGACCTGACAGCAGCTCCTCGCTAGCCTGGCCGGGCTCGGGACACTGGAGATTGAGAGGGTGAGCAACGGCAGCTTTGTTTGCCCCCCCCCCCCCCCCACCAAGCTCTGCATTGCCGTGTCAGATAAGATTTTTGCTCGAGGACTGAAGTAAAGGACGTACCATGACCCGCTTCCACTTTGTAGAGCA